CAACTTATAAGTAGCAGTTGATAAAGCTAGAAGCTAAAAAAATTCTAATTCCATTTTCAAATATTCAAGGGAATCTATTATTTAACGGGTAAGGTGGAGTAATGGATAGCAGCTCAGATTGAGGAATTGGGGAGCTGAGTTCGAATTCCAGTCGAATCCGTTACTTTATCTTAGGTGCTTGGGAAAAGGTATGAATCCTCTTCTTCTATCCCCAGTTATGGGTTAATAGCAGGACAGACCGATAGCAGGACAGATCGTGTTCTATAGCCTTTCTACCGTGGAAAGAAATGGCAACCTACTGCGGAAAAAATTATGTCAGTCATATATCAAAAGATACATGGTCGCCTAAGCGTGTATCACGCATGGCACATAACGGACTGAAGGGTAATATAGTGTTGTTATTTAGCGAGTGAATTTTTAGCGACAAGTTTGGGATTCAACCACTGTAGTAAGCGAAAATTCCGACAACTCACTTCTGAGCGTTCATATTGCCTGGAGGACGAAGTTCTCGCAGAGGTCACATCCTTTTCATCTTTAATGACCCCTTTATTTACTTCATAGCCCAGAAGTTTTATTTTCATTACTCTATAGAGACATTTATTCTCATTTAAGGTGAGACCGTAATTTTCAGTCAGTTCTTTGAATCTTGCCAAGTTGTTCTCTTTCATTAATACCATAAATGGTGACGTCACCTATATAATCGAATTGTTCTTTTAAGATTATTTAATCCAAAATTCTTTGAAAGCAAGCCACTCCATTTGTGATACTAAGTAGCACCCGTTTAAAATTATACAATTTACCACCGGCTTCAAAAGATGTGTAAGGGTAGTCTGCTTTTCGTAGGGGAACTTGATGCTACGGATTTTTTAGGACTAAAGTGATAATATATTCATATACAAAATAATCATGTCAATAAAATTGTAGGGAGCATGTCCATAAAAGCAAAGGTGAAACGGAAACGATTGACACTCAATAAATACATGTGTTTTGGTTATTTGCTGATACGTTTAGATTATCTGATTGGATTTGGGGTGCATTTTTGAAGTGTTTACGTTAGGAGAGTTATAGCTCCTCCAGAAGATACTGTACCACGACCAGCGACCGGTGATTTAACTGAAGAGGCTGACCCTGGAACCTGGAACTCATCTATCCCAAACACTTCAAAAATGCCCCCCCCCAACATTTCTCTTAGATTCTCTAAGCATATCACCAAAGAACCAAAACGACTCGGTGTCGAACACTCAAAAAAAAAAAAAAAGAAGAAAAACAAGACCTCGGGAGAGAGTTTTACAGTCGATGGGTTCGAGTCAAGAAACTAACATTTGAAGTTACATCTACCTAATTCACCAGTAAAATCATGAGACCTAATTGACAATGTACTAATAGGCTTTAATTGATACGGTCGAGACACTATGGAGAAAAAAAATGCATGTCATCAAGTTCTCAATCGAACAATTACCAAGAAAATATCTATAGGAGTGCGAAAATATCTATAGAAGTAGAGAAAATATCTATAGAGGTGCGAAAGTATCTATAGAAGTGCGAAATTATCAATAGAAGTATATAAAATATCTACAGGTATAGAAAATGTCTATAGAAGTATAGGAAATATCTATAGAAGTGCATATTATCAAGTTCTCAATGGAAGAATTACCAAGAAAATATGTATAGAAACGACAGAAGGAAGCGATGTCTAGGCGATGGGAAAGTGACTGAAGTTGATATGTCAGGCCAAGACCGATTACATTACAGACCCTTTTGTTGAATTTGTCCAGTATCTCGATATATATATATATAGCAGAGACAGCAGACTAGATATGGCAGCAATAATACGCGGACTAATGAGCTTTATAAATCTGACTCATCTATTAAACAGGAACCTCCTATTCACAAGTTCTTTTTTTTTTCAGATACAAGTGTATTGAGTGTGAATCATTTCATGACTTTCTTCGAAACAACTCGCAAATTGATATTGCTATCCTTAACCTTCTTATTGGGAATTGCGTCACAGAGGTTTTTCTTCTTGGGTTAAAGCCGATATCGATGCTTTTCTATGTTCTCGGAATCTTCTACTCGTTTCACAGCGCCCTGTTAAGCCGTTATAGCCTATAGGAATCCTTTCCTTACGGCTGTACCAGCGTGATAGTTCCGCTTCCAAAACAAAACTGCGCTTCCTACATTCGATCAGCATCGCTGATACTAACTTCCAGAACACTGACTCATTGCGCTTTCTCGGCCAAACGTTTTCCGCTGACATGAAGTGAAAATATTATATTGAATCGATTGCTAGTTCAGTTGTTAGTTGAAAAAGTTGGTTCACAGTGTCGCCCTTCAGAAAGATTTTCGCGACAGAAACTATTTTGCATATTTAGAAGTTTACCATTTGGCTATACTTTGAATACTACATCTGCTTTGATACTTCTGCTATGTATTTAGAGATTCTTGATAAAAAAAAAAAAAACAATGAACACTCTGCAATATTATTCGTCCTGAGCTGACATCTCAGCTTCGGTCACTTTCCAACCACCGTGACGTAGCTTCCCTGTGTTTTCTTTTATAAATACCTTCATGGTAATTCTTCTGAGGAACATTCCTCTACGGTACTTAGACTTCATAAATTGAGGGGCAGTACTAGATTGGCGGCAAGGTCTCACCATTTTACAGTTAAAATAGTTAGATAAAACCGTAAGTTCTATGCTAATATTATCTTCTCCCTCACTTCTCGCTTATGAAACTCTCTTCCAGTTTCTTGTTTTCTAGTCTCTCCTATTGTCTCTCCTTACTAGTGTTTTTATTCATTTTCTCTCAAACGCTAGTAAACCACTTGCGTCTTAGTGGCTTTATTGCCATACTTGAATGAAATGATAAAAAAAACGTGTAAGCTGAACTCTGACGAGAAAAAAATACTGATACGACGCAGTGAATTACATAGTGTTTTGTTTTATACATAGAATGGTTGGATGCTGGTTTTCGAGTGTGTCTGTTTGATAGTCATCCCTGTTGCAGACGTCTGTTAAGGCACATTTCTGTTTTGTCAAAACCCACGGACCTAACTATGTTTTATACTGCCCTATAAAAAGAATCTTATACTTTCGGTTCCTGGGAGAGAGCGCATAATCCAGGGTGATTAACAGTTTGAACAAGATAAATACGCTCAAACACTCGGTCATGATGACTTGCGATGTTATGCTAACACAACTGTAAACGAACAATTTCGTCTAGTCAGCATCAATTATTTTGTCAACTCATGATATGGTTTGCACATAAAAACACGCCCAGCTGTGTATAAAAAAGGGGGGAAGGAATAGACTTGGTAGAAAGAAGGGATTTTAACATATTCAGATAGATAGATAGATAGATAGATAGATAGATAGATAGATAGATAGATAGATAGATATTGAAGGGACGGGGATAGATAGATAGATAGATAGATAGATAGATAGATAGATAGATAGATAGAATAAAAACACACCGACGAAAAAATTATATGCAATTATTTGATTATACTTGCAGAATTGTTATGAACATAGATGGATGGATATATATATATATATATATATATATATATATATATATATATATATATATATATATATATATATATATATATATATATATATATATATATTAGTGGTAAATATATACATATGCAAAATATATAAATACCCATGCATGTATATTTTTTGAATAAAAATTCCAAGAGGAAGAATCCAGGTAGAACTCAATGTCCAGGACAGAGTAAGGAATTTGTAGGTCTGATGAATTGGATCGTATTTACGATTCCAATCGGATAAATTATGACCATGGAATATTAGTGTTTAAGCCTTTTATTATATATATATATATATATATATATATATATATATATATATATATATATATATATATATATATATATATAGATAGATAAAAGAGAGAGAAAATAGATAGATAGATAAATATGTACATAGATAATTAGATGGGAGAAGAGGCACAAGGTCGAAAAAGAAATGCATGCAATTATTTGTTTATGAACATAGATATAGATGTGAAAATTGATAGATAGATAGATAGATAGATAGATAGATAGATGGACATAAAAAGATAGAGGTATGAACAAAGATAGATCGATAGATAGCTTCATATGGACAAAGTTATACATAGATATGAACATAGATATGAAAATACATAGATATGAAAATACACAGATAAGTAGATATGAACTTATATAGATAACTAGATACATATGAACAGACAGACATGAAGAGACAAAGATAGATAGGGAGACATATGTACAAAGATAGATATGAAAATAATGAGAGAGAAAGAGAGAGAGAGAGAGATGGAAGAAAAGCACAATGACGAAAAGCACAATGACGAAAAGGAAGAGTATGCAATTATTTGTTTATACTTGTAGAATTAAGCTAGTCTTACTAACGAATATGCCATATACTTTCCTCGAAAGCGATTACGTTGCCCGTACAGAATTTCCTGATCGACTCAAAAAGCTCATTTAAGAAAAGCTAGTACTACATTCACACGAAGTATTGTCATTTCCCCAAATCTGCTTCACTGTTTATTCCATTATGCTTATATCTATAAGTCAATATCGATTTCTCCAAAAGAAAAGCAACAAAGACGTTCATATAGGTCAGCATCAACCAACATCTGCTTGATTCTGTGTCTGTACAATCCTCACCTAATAAATCGAGAAGAGAACGTGTGAAAAATGAAGCCACATTTTAGATAACACGTTTTGAATAGCTGAAAACATGCATCGTTTCATTATTCAATTATATAATTGATTATTCAAAGAAGCAAAACGGTCCCAAAATGCGTTCAAGCTTTTTCATAGCTTTAGGACACTTAAAAAAATATGATTTATTGTCGACTTTCTTTAAAAAATGACTGGAATTATTGAATTATTTGATGAAATTATAAATCTCGAATAATTTCCGGTTTGCAAAATTTCTATAATCTCTTTTTTTATGCTAGCATTCATTACATTTATTTATGTACGGCTTGCGGCCATATCATATTGAAACCCCAGTCTCCGCACGATCACCGAAGCTAAGCATCATCGAGCCTGGTCAGTAACTAGATGGGTGACCTTTTGTCAATAACGGGTACAGTAAGTTTGGATTTGCGGGTAGTGTCATGGATAAAGGCTCTAAATTGTTAATCGAAAATCCGATTAGAAAAGTTATGAATCCATCTCGTCTCACCCCCCAGAAATGGGTTAATTAGTATATAGTTTTTGTCACTAAACCATTATTATCTCAAAAAAACAAATCAAATTGCATACAGAATATTTAGATTTCGTCATTAACATGCCGCTAGACAACAACCAATCAATGAATGACTTACGCGCAAAAGAAATGTATGAATCTATCTCTTTATCCCCACCTTTGGGTTAAATAGTAGAAGGTATATCTGGAAAAAATAAAAAGAACATTCGGACAGTTTTTATATAATCTATCAAATAGCAGCAAATTTAGTTCCATGAAGTCCTGAAGGACGAAATGCGTCACAAGTCAACTTTTTTCCACTTTATCATACAATTTCCTCATATATATATATATATATATATATATATATATATATGTATATGTGTGTGTGTGTGTGTGTGTGTGTGTGTGTGTGTGTGTGTGTGTGTGTGTGTATCATTAATCTAATCAGGATTTTGCATAGGTTACATCCTATTCATCAGGATAATTGATTGTCAAATTAGAAACAATATAAATGGATTTAATTTTATTTATTATTATTAATGATCTAGTTTGGGACATTGAGCATCATAATTAAAAATACTCTTTACTCTGTAATTGTTATCTTCCATAAATACTCGATCGCTTTTTTTTATGGTAGAGTGGAGCGAAACACAATCCTTGCTATATATATATATATATATATATATATATATATATATATATATATTGTGTGTGTTTTGCAATAAGAGATTCCCCAGACACTGTACCGCTCCTATGTACCAATATTAACTCGAATATATCTTCTTCGTGTAATGGTGAATAAATGGTAAGAAACCAAAATAATTCATCGTTGGTCTAAGGAACAGCGAAAGAAAATGTTCTGGTCCTATAATTTACACGCATCGTTTAATTCTTGTCAAATAAAAATGTCCACGAATAAAAAAAATGATTCTTGTGCGCATCCCATTTCTCTTACAAAGGAAATAAATATTCTACAAGGAAGACAAATAATTTCGACACAATTTTCAATTATATTCATATTGATAAAAATGGTCACTTAATGTTCCTCTTCCCAGGCAACCTCATGTATCGTCCTAATATATATATATATATATATATATATATATATATGTGTGTGTGTGTGTATGTATATATATATATATATATATATATATATATATATATATATATATATATATATATGCACTAGCTATCTGCCAATAAGTGTGTTATTATTATTATTATTATTATTTTTATTATTATTATTTGTTGAAACTTGACTAATGCATGGAATAATAATGCAACACAAAATGTACTTAGAACAAAATGTATTGAAACAAGAAAGTGTACACAATATTTACATATAGTCTTTTGTATATTCCTGGTAAGACCGTTCCTGGAGAATGTGTTGACTGAGTCGCAGTCGGGCAGAGTCTCTGGTTGAATCTCTTGATTCCTCCCTCACTTCCCGGTACCAATCATATTTATATGGTCGGTACTCCACTATGTAAATTAGGTGGATCCTACCACAACATTATTATTGCTGTTGTTGTTGCTGTTGTTATCGATTGAGAAAGCAGTACAATAACGTAGTGAGTCTGGAATAAAAATATTCCAAGTCAAATATCTCTAGCATAATACTCAGTTCGATAAGGATATAGAATGCATATGAATTACAATTAAAGATACCTGATGTTGACATGTTCTGATAAAATCAGGGCATAACCTTATCCGCGTGCGATTTCTAAATCGCCCTTGCTTCGTCAAACTTCAAATTAACAAAAAAATCCTTCCGATGCTATACCATGATTCCATCGTGGATATTTCTTGCTAACCAACTGACAAGCAAATTTGTGTTACTGTACAGGATACTTTCTGTGGCCAATTTTTATTCACCAGGTTTATGGCCATATCAGGTTGAAACACCGACTTTCATGCGAACCCCGCGGTTAAGCAACGTTGAACCTAGATGGTTGCCCGCTTGGGCATACCAGCTGCTCTAAGGCTGAATGTGCGAGTCGTGTAACGGATAACGGCTCAGAAATGGCAGTCGGAGAGCCGTGTCCCAATTATAGTCGGCTTCGTTATATTCATTTACGCGTAAATATCCTTGAAAATGTTATGAATCCACCGCTTCTCTCCCTCCAGCTATGGGTAAAAAATTAAATTGTAAAATCGAAAATGAGACATTATATATACAGTGTAACCCGGATATAAGAGACCCGGATATAAGGAAACCCCGATATAAGAGAGATTTTCTCTAGTCCCAAATTAGAGCCTGTGTTAATGTATATAAATTAGACCAAACCCGGGTATAAGAGAAACCCGGATATAAGAGACTTCTTCTCCGGTCCCGACAACTCTCTTATATCCGGGTTACACTGTATATATATATATATATATATATATATATATAAACTAGAATTCTTTTGCAACACGCTGACACGTGTTGAATTGTTTTAGTACTGTTAAAGTTATCGCTAACATTTTTGTCGAGATTTACACGTTTCGTTCAATTTCGCAAACGGATCAATGAAATCCAAAGTTGCGGATCAATGATCCTATCTTCCCATAATGCATAAAAACGGCAAGGACATTTTTGTTTATCTTTTACATTACCATGTTTCAAGTGGTTTAAAATAGGCCTTGTTACTTTTATAGTTAATAATTTAAAAGTGAAAAATATTAAGATTTGCATTAATTCGATATTGCCTTTTTCCTAAAATTGTCTGAAAGTGAGAAAAATGTAGCGTCCTTTCATTGGATTGTCATTGGTAAAATAAAACACGTGACAATTCAAATTTGTATACCTCAAGAACTTCCATTTTATACAAGTCGTTTGAGACTCATTTCTGAACGAAAAATACATAAAGTTTGTAACAATATGTACGTATGAAAATCCCTGTTACCATTTAATGCTAATTTGTTGTATAAATAAAATAGCGGTAGAAAGTTCCAATAAATAATTACTAAGCGTGTCTTTGTCTGGTTAAATTCATCCAATAACGATAGAACTTGTGACACTATCTTGTGGCCAGCAAGACTGATTTGCTAACAATCTCTCTAAGGTCACGAAATTACCCTTACAAGATTTTACGATACCATATTTTAATGCATTCTCACGTCCGGAAGGTTTCATTTATAGCGTCTAATGAATATTCATATATCCGTTTCCGTTGACCTGGTGTCCGTGATATATTTGCTAAGCGCGGTCGTCCCAAAATACCAAACTCTATTCAAGAGAGAATCGGTAAACTTAATCCTGTAGCAATTGCGTAACAGGTTTTCTTAAAAATGAATCTCTGTATGTCAAGCCGATCCGTCTCAACAGAATTCAACTTTTCGAGAAACTGGATCATATACGCTAAATGAATTCTTTTGTGCCATGTGTAAATATTCATTTTTCTCTCTGAATAATGTGCTCTTTACAAGCATACAACTTGCGCGGGAATCATACATAAAGAGGCTGTAAGTAAAGTCTGCAATGATGTATACTGATATCAGGAAAGGAAAAAGTAAAGAAATAAAGAATAAATTAGAATAAAATTTGGATAAGAAACTCTTATCTGAGAGATCTCAGGAATTTGAGTCCCAATATTGCCAAAGGTTATTTCTTTATTTACACTATTTACATTGTTGTCTTCATTATCGTTGCAATATTCATGAAGTTTCAGCCGTTGTACGCTCTGGCAATCTTCAGGTGACTGGAATTTCGAACTGGACACTTTATTTCGTCCATAAAGATAGACTGTTCTAGCTCCACGTGCCATGCTTCTACCAGATGTCTCAGTTACCTCCCTTTAGCTCAACACTCCAAGATTTTGTTTACCATTAGTCAGGTATTGAACTCACAGTTCTTTGGGTCAAGTCACTAGATCCAACTAAGGCCATTATCCACTGGGCCATGTGTTCTGTGGGCGAAATAAAGAGTTCACTTCGAAATTACAATCACATGAAGAAGGCCGAAGCGAAACGTTAGATTCATAAGCGTTTCCTATTTGTTACTTATCCTATCATATATATATATATATATATATATATATATATATATATGTGTGTGTGTGTGTGTGTGTGTGTGTGTGTGTGTGCGTATCTGTTATTTCGTAGGCTGATAGGTAGACAGATATTAGCTTAATTCCTATCTGAAGTTTCACTTTTAAAGTTACTATTTGCCAGTAAAATATATACATTATCAACGTAGAAGATTATGTTGAAAAAATAAATATATGTTCTGTAAAATATATATAATGTTCAAATATTAACGATATAAGCTTGACTGGCTGTTTCGTTGAGTTGATCAATATTAAACTGTTTACTCTCCTCAATCGTTTTAACCAAACATAGAACTCAATGGCAATTGTAAGTACTTCAAAAAACAAAAAGGAAACACATGTAATATTTGCTACTTTTTCATCGCTCACTTGTTCCTTCTCTCTCTCTTTTTCTCTTTCTCTTTCTCTCTCTCTCTCTCTCTCTCTCTCTCTCTCTCTCTCTCTCTCTCGGCATATCTTTGTTAATATCTAAAGTACATGAACACAAAAAAAAACATGAACAAAAGACTGCAAAAATAGAATGAAAAATTGAACAGCTATTCTTGTATGTTTTAATAAAAAAGAAACAGTTAATATTACCATTACTGTTGGATATAGGGAGTACATTTACTACCCTATGATCACAGCCATTGAGTTAGAATGAAAAAAAATGCAACTCTAGTAGAACTGGCAGCTCAGTCAACGAATAACTATTAGCACCGGCTGCTCAGTCAATGAATATTATCCGTTTCCATACAAAGAAACAGCTAATATTACCATTACTGTTGTAGATGGTGAGTACAGTTACTACACTCTGATCACAGCTTGATAACCATAGAGGAAAAAAGTGTAACTCTAGTAGCACTTGCTGCTCGGTCAATGAATATTATCC